AACAGGCCGCTGCTGGCCACGCACACACGTCCGCTAACAGGCCGCTGCTGGCCACGCACACACGTCCGCTAACAGGCCGCTGCTGGCCACGCACAAACCTCCGCTAACAGGCCGCTGCTGGCCACGCACAAACCTCCGCTAACAGGGCGCTGCTGGCCATGCACAAACCTCCGCTAACAGGCCGCTGCTGGTCACGCACAAAGTGCACTGGCTAGGCACTGAACCGGCTCTGACACATGGAAGCCGGAAATTCTGCCACTGGGCTGCCACTGCCTTAAACCAAGTGCCGTCAAGTCAACTCCAACATGTCCCCATGTTGTGTCAGTAGAATCATGCTCCACGAGACTGTCAATGGCTGAGTTACTGAAATATCACCAGGCCTTTCTTCTGAGGTACCTCAGGCTGGACTAGACCCTCCAGCTTTCAGTTAGCAGTCAATAGCATTAACCGTTTGCACCACCCAGAGACTACTTGCTGGGGACTCATAAAAACCTCCATCCAGTATCCCAGTCTGCCAGGGAAACCAACCCCATCTTCTCCCAACTCCATGTCACAGCAGGGCAGGAGGGATAAGGATTTGGGGGAACTTGGCCCTGAGGGCAGTGGGGAGGGAGGACAGGGACAAGCAGGGAATGCTTCCCAGGAGGAAAAGCTCTGGAAGTGAGTTTTGCAGAATCAACACGATTCCTCTACCTAAGGGAGTCACAAAGGCCTGGAAATGAAAGAGAGCCTGAAGAGGGATCCATGGAGGCTTCAAAAAGTTTGTGGGGGGAAAGGATTGAAAACATAATGAACACGCATCTACCTTCTAGCCAGTTCATTGTTCCTTACCTGGGGTGACTGGGAAGGCAATAGACAAAAAGAGGGAGGTTGGGAGAGGAAACATGGAGGCAGTGGAAGATACAGGGAGGGCTGCAAGAGTTAAAGGGAATACGTGATGGCACATGTAGGCAATTGCATTCAATGTAATGGTATAGGACGTGTTGAATACAAAACTAATGATCTGTTCTGTAAACCTTCACTCAATTCACAATAAAAAGTTTCTTAACAAGGTAATGAATTTTTTCCAGAACTTTTTTGATGCCCTCCCCTTCCCCCTCGAAAGTGTGGTGCCCAGTGGAGTATTGTTAAAGTGTTGGCGAGGCAGTTTCAACTCATACCAAGTCTATATAGGGTTTCGAAGGAGCAGCTGGTAAGCTTGAACCACCGACCTGGTGGTTAAAACAGACATTGCAGTCCAGCGCATTGACCCACAGCATCACACCAGGACTCCACAGAGGAGTGTGAAGGTCTCCAACGATTGTGCCTGGGAATTACTGTTCTCTCTACTCCCTGTATGGTGCAACACACTCAGCTGCTAATCAAAAGTTTGGAGGTTCGCATTCACCCAGAGGCACCTCGAAAGAAAGGCATGGCGATCTACCTCTGAAAAATCGGCCCCTGGAAACCCTGTGTTGGAGCACAGATGAACTCTGACACACATGGGGGTCACCAAGTGTCAGAGTCGACTTGGAACAGAACTGGTATTAATGTACTCATTCATTCGAGCGTCTATTCATTCAACAACAACGATTCGTTCAAAGATAGCGATGCCCAGAGATGGGCCTCAGCTCAACCCTCGTCCTGGAGGATGTGAGAGCAGAACCCGGCCCGCCTCCAACCACCAGTTCTATTGGCTGTTGTGGGGGCGGAGGTAGGGTCGGGGACTTACTTGGGAACTCTGACAACATACTCCGTGACATTCTGGCTGCTGGGGCCCTGAGGAGACAAAAGGTGGGATGGTGAATGAGGGGCTACTGGTGCCGCCGCCGTGACCCCCTCCCGCCCTGCCACAATACAGTGAGACTCACAAGGGCTGCCATGGCAATAATAGTATCTCGGGGCGGCTTCGACCCGATCAAGGTTTACGGCCTTCTCCTCGCCTCCGCCAGAGTCCAAGTACCTAACGGCCGGGGATGCCTCTTCTAGGTCTCGGAGCTCTGCAACTGAACGAGGACCCCCAAGCGCTCCGCACCTCCAGCCGTAGACCAACTACACAGAAGCTACGCTCCGCCGCCGCCGCGTCCACCAAAAAAGCCGCTCCCGGCCCGTCTACGCTTGCGCCGCCGCCTAACCCGGAAGCGAACCCTTCCGCTTCCGCTTGCCTCGTTGTGATAGCAACCTCCCCTCCGCTTACGGGCTTTTTCAGCGCACCCACTTATCCTCTTTTAGCTTCCAGAGAAGCTCAGAGTTCATAGAGCTCACAAAAGAGTCTTCTTCTGTTGCTCACGTTCTCGTTTCCTACTCTAGTTGTTAAATGCCAGGGAGTCGGTTCCGCCCACAGCAGGCCAGTATAGGGTTTCCCAGGGCCGGCTGATGGGTTTAGGTTTGAACCACCGACTTTGCGACTAATTATCCAACACTTATGCTACAGGACTATTTATACGTAGTTAATACAATCATGATGCGTACTTAACACAATCACGATGCCTCCGTGACATCACATTACGACCGCGGGGCATCCTGGGTGCGGAAAGAAGAAACGTTCGCCCTTCGCAGCGTCTCAGGAGCTCTGCGCATGCGCTACCTTGTTCCGGAAGCGCGTCCTATGAGGCTGCGTCACCATAGCAACTGAGGCCTACTCTTCACAGCTGATTTACTGTAGCTCCACTAGGCCCAGTTTAGGATTCATTATCTCTTCCTAACCCAGTTCTTACCCGCCCCCCGCAATCTGCCAAACTGGTGGGGCAGGGACCCTTGTGACGTTAAGTGGAGGCAGGACGGGTCAGGGCCTGGGTGGGATGTGGCGCAACTACCGCTGGGGCCACTGGCACGATGGGTCTTTGCAAGTCCAAGCTGCCCCAGATGAGCAGGCCCCTGAAGCCCCAGGAGAAGGGTAACATCGCGGGGTGGGAAGGGTTACTGTGGGGAGGAGAAAGGTAGTGAGCCCCCACCCAGCATCTAAATGTACACACACCCCTCTAAGCCTGGAACCCAGCTGCGCATACTCACTTGCTCCCCCATTAATTGATCTGTTTAGGAAATAGTTGAGCGGCACCTGTGGACTTTCTCCGGAGTTCTGGAAACTCAGCTGTGAATGGGTCAAACCAGCGCCCTACCCTCTTGGAGATTACAGTGTCGTGGGTGGGTGGTCAGTGGTTGTGTGATGTGGAGTCGGATCCGACTCATAGCGGCAGTGTCATCGGGTTTCCTGGTGTGGCGCTGTAGGATAAGCACTGGACCGCAAGGTCGGTGGATCAAACTCACCAGCCGCTCCTCGGAAACCCTATACAGGGTCGCTATGGGTCGAAAACGATGGCACTTACCAAATCTTTACAGGAGCAGAAAGCCTCATCTGTCTCTCTTGGAGCAGCTGCTAGATTTGAACTGCTGGCCTTAAAATTAGCAGCCCAACTCATAACCAGGTCTTTGTTAGGTGCCATCGAGTCAGTACCGACTCATAGCGACCCTATGCACAACAGAACGAAATACTGCCCGGTCCTGGGCCAACCTCACAATTGTTATTACGCTTGAGTCCATTGATACTGCCACTTTGCCAGTCCATCTCGCTGGGATCTTCCTCTTTGTCTCTGGCCTCCCATCTTATGAAAAAACAAAATTGTATCTTCACTCCAGAAGAGAGCAAGGCAAGAGAGAACGGACATTTAAGCTGGGTCCGAGTTAGCCAAGCAAAGGAGGAAAGGGAGTGGGCAACAGAAAAACTGCATCACATCTATAGATTCTGTATATGTGTCCGGTAGCCTTGGACAGTCACTTACTCCCTAAGAAGCCAGTTCCAGTCCAGTGGATTCTGACCCATGGTGTGTTCCACAGGGTTTTCCTGGCTGTGTGGAAGCAGAATGCCACGGGGTGGGTTCAAACCAACAACTTTTTTTTAAGTCAGTTGTGGAACACTTTTTCACCACCAACTGCTACACTATATCAGGAACTGTGCCAAGCACTAGAAATACAGGGATGAGCAAGATAAAATTAGTCCTTGCCCCCAAGGAGTAGAGTCTGGTAGAGGAGACAAATGTGAACAGTAAAATATTGGGGGGGTTGTAGTCATTCTGTGGAGAGAGGGAGTTCTGAGACAGGAGACCTAGACATGGAAGAGGTTCTTTGTTTTGGTTTTGTCATCAGACCCATTCAGCACTGTGGAGTCCTGGTGTGGTGCTGTGGGTTAATGCGCCAGACTGCAAAGCCGTTTGAACTGCAAGGTTGGTGGTTCAAGCTCACCAGCTGCTCCTCAGAAATGCTATACAGGGTCTCTATGGGTCGGAACTGACTCAATTCACTTAACAACAACAACAACTCATTAATCAGCCCAGCTCTTGGTGACCCCATGTGTGTAGAGTAGAACTGCACCCCATGGGACATTTTTAAGTGGGTCGGTCACATGTTGTGTGATGTAGAGTTGGTTCCAACTCACAGCGACCCTATACAGGGTTTCTGGGAGCCGTTGGTGGATTTGAACTGTCAACCTAGCCATTGGCAGTCCAGTGTTTCTCCTACAGCATCACACCAGGATATATATATGTTGTTGAGTGCCATTGAGTCAGTTCGACTCATGTTGTTGTTGTTGTTGTTAGGTGCCATCGAGTCGGTACCGACCCATAGTGACATTATGCACAGCAGAACGAAACACTGCCCAATCCTGGGCCAACCTCACTGTTGTTGCCATGCTTGAGTCCATCCATGCTGCCACTTGGCCAATCCATCTCATTGGGGGGGTCTTCCTCTTTTTCTCTGACCCTCCACCTTACCAAACATGATATCCTTCTCCAGCAACTGGTCCATCCTGACAATATGTCTGAAGTATGAGAGACCAAGTGTGGCCATCTTGATCTCTAAGGAGCACTCTGGCTGCACTTCTTCAAAAACGGATTTATTGATTCTTTTGGCAGCCCATGACACTTTCAATATTTTCTCCTCCAACACCACAACTCAAATGCATCAATTCTTCTACGGTCTTCCTTATTCACTGTCCAGCTTTCGCATGCATATGAGGTTATTGAAAATACCATGGCTTGGGTCAGGCGTTCCTTAGTCCTCAAGCTGACATCTTGGCTCTTCAACACTTTAAAAAGGTGCAGCAGATTTGCCTAATGCAATACTACTCTATATAATGTTTCTGAAGTGAAGAGTGACTGATGAGTTTATATCCTTGGTAGCGTTGTGGGTTACGAGTTGGGCTGCTAACAAGGTCAGCAGTTCAAATCTACCAGCCGCTCTGCAGGAAAAAGATAAGGCTTTCTACTCCTGTAAAGATTTACAGCTTTGGAAACCCTATACAGGGTTACTATGCATCAGAACTGACTCCATAACACATAATCACTACTATATATATATATATATATACACAGTTGTTGTTGTTAAGTGCCGTCGTGTCGATTCCAACCCATAGCGACCCTGTATAGGGTTTCCGAGGATCAGCTGGTGAACTTGAACTGCCGACCTTGCAGTTTAAACACCTTTGCAGTCTGACTCATTAACTCACAGCGCCACAGTATATACAGTGGTGTGGGTGAAAGTTGATAGAGCAAATTGGTTTTCCATTCAACAATTGATACACATTTTGGCATAAGGTTTTCAAGCCTGTGATCTTTCAGAATCAGATGATCAAGGCCTGTCCTCTGAGGCACCACTGGGTGGGTTTGAACTACCAGCCTTTCAGCTCATCATCCAGCTTTGCCGTGTGCTCCACCCAGGGACTCCTGGGATGCTCTGTGGATGGAGGTGTGAGCTGTGGCTGCTGAAAGCAGAGCCAGCAAAGGGGACCGCAAGGACAGAGGGACGGGTATGACCACAGCTGTGGTAGCTTCAGAATGGAAGGGAGACCACTGGGGTTGGAGCATTCCCAGTTTCGGAAGGGATGTGCTGCGAGATGAGGCTCAGCATGTGGGCGTTATAGTCTCCTAGTGCTGAGTGGCTTTCACAAGCGGAGATGTATCTCCGCACAATTCAGGGCACCGGCTCTAGGAGGCTTTCTCACTCAGTCAGCTCTGGCGGACGGTCCCTGTCTCTTTTCAGCTTCTGTCCTCCATTCTTTGGAGAGCATGTGTTCTGGCATCTATTTTCCCCATCTGTGCTAGCTGGCTTCAGTGCCTAATCCACTCCTTTTATAACAAAATTGATTGGTTTAAAAACACACCCTACCCTGATGTTGCTTCCTTAACATAACAAAGAAAACTCTATTCCCAAATGTCTCACATCCACCCGTATAAAACCAAACCCACTGCCAGCAAGTGGAAATCATGGTGACCCCAGAGGATGGAGTAGAACTACCTCCATGGGGTTTCCAAGGCTGCAAACTTCAGGCCTGCAGGCCATCGCAGTTTTCTCTGGAGGAGCAGATGGTGGGTCGAACTACTACCTTTCAGCTAACAGCTGAGTTCATAGCCACTGGGCTACCAGAGCTCCTGGGTAAGGCCGGGGTTCACACAGAAGCAAAACTAGTAAAACATATATATGTATATATGGAGAGAAGTTTATTATTAAGGAAATGGCTTACATTTGTAGGGTCCCAGGTCCCCAGGGGAAGAGAGAGAGAGAGAGACTTTCCCGTGTGTCCATTATATTGGGAGCAGGTCACACCCCCAAGGAAGCAGCCCTTCAATCCATTGGCTGCTCATGGCCTCTCTTCAGAGTTAACTATGCCTGCATTAGGTCTTGGCACTTAAAAACAACAGCTGCTAGACCCCTGGGAATCCTGTCTTAGTCAAATTGACCCAGAACCCTGTTACACTTCCCTCCCACAGCTGTCCCTCCCATATGCCATTGGAGTGGACTCCCACTCAGCCTCCCCACAGGACAGAATTGAACTGCTTCATAGGATTGCTTCTTTACAGAAGCGGATGGCATCAACTTTCTCCTGAGGAGT